GCTAGCAAGGCAACATCAACGGCACCCAAGCGAACAATATAAATTTCCTCATCAAAGATGTGACGTGGAATCGGCCCCACTTTCTTCATGCGTTCTTTGACCTCTTTCCAGTATCCCGCTTGCTCATTTGGTTTCAGACCGCGCTTCATCCATGCACACATCGCCTTCACATCCATCTCGTCGGGGCAATTCATGATGATTCGACTGGCTTGTAGTTGCTTCTCCCACTCATCATAGTTTTTTACCTTTGGCGATGACACCACAATCATGCCCCATCCAGTGGAGGGCGCAAAGCCTGTGTCGGGCGGTGTTCCTTTCTTTGCCACATCGTAAATAATATACCCTTTCATCCCACGCTGCCAAAAACCACGCAAAACATTCTTGGATGTTATGTTACCCTCGTATATTGCCACGGTTTTGGTGGTTTTGTCAAACACGTACGCCGTTTCTCCAAAACAGTGGACAACAACTTGGAGCTCCTCCACATCGTAGTGCAGCAGCTGGTAGAGGAGGTACGAACCGGCAGCCATCGACTTCCCGATCCCGGGCGTCCCAATCAACACACGCGGCAAAGGTGAAGAATTGAGAGTCAAATCAAAATTGCTGAACCAATTGGTTAGATCGCGCTCGACGATCTGCCACACTCGATCCACCTCGCAGTTAATAAAGAAGTCATTATCAGTCCCATGCGGCGCATTCAGAGTGTATGGCCATCCCTTGTCCGAGGTGAGCACCATCAGCCTGGGAGGTGCTTTACCGGATTTCCGCACACCGTCATCCTTTTCGAGAGTGTTGCCAGCTTTCTTGTACGTCCATGACTGTTTCGGTTTCCCCTCCTTCACCTTCATTACCGTCCCCTTTTTCTTTTTCTTTCGCTTATCGCCGTCGGGAATTTCCACCACATGGTGCCAACTCGCATTGTACACAGACTCGTACAATCCCTCCAGTTTCAACGCTTCAATCGTCGTTCGGTTTCTCGCTTCCTGAAGGGCTGCATCCAAGGAGTGTTTAGTGATGTCATGAACAGTTGCTTTTACCTCCGCAGCAGCTTCTGACCACCCAAGTAGATTGTTGACACCATTTTTGTAAAGCTTGCGTACAACTTCTTCCAAATCCATTTCCTCCCTTACAGCCCTCTCCATCCTCGCATAAGCATCGGTTATCTGTATTTCTTTCAACGCTCCTTTATCACGGATATACTTAATGGGGTTCTTGAAAAACTCCTTCAGCAAAACACTCCGATTGGTGGCCACAACGCCCCTGCCGTCCAATTCCATCATAAGAAAATCGTTCAGCTTCTTTTCCTTGACGCGGACTCTTCCTTTGAACAGTACATCTTCGATCGTAGTGGAAATGTTAAATTTCATTTCTTGCGTTCCTCTTAGCATTTCTGTCAGTATCTGAGTGAGGGCTGCGTTTAGTTTTCCCCTTGCAAGAGCAGTGACCGTATCCTTTCCTTCATAGTCCCTCCATTGCTCGAGAGAGAACACACCCTCGTGATGAAGTTTATAAGTAGCCTCCAATAGTATTTTCCTTTCCTCCAGCTCTTGGTACTCTGTTAAATTAAAAATAATTCTAAGATGCTGCTGTTTTTTTACGTAAGCATCCGGCTCCTGAACAAACACCTCCATAGCGACGTTCTCATTTTTTTTCACAACGCCCTTGCCGCCCAAGTTCCTCCGAAGGAAATCGTTCAGCTTCATGTCGGTCCTGAGAGTGCTTCCCTCCAGCAGGATGTCCTTTACGCTGCTGCTCATGGTCCACTGTGGTCGCCGCGTTCCCTCCACTCCTCTCCGTGCTGCAGCGTCTGAACCATCGCCGGGGATGCCGCTGCGAGGTGCCATCACAACACCCGTGCGGTGAAGCATCCCACTCGCACCGCCCAACTGCGGCCAGCAGATGTCGCTGGCTCCAAAGGGCAGTCGCGGCTGTTTCGTCCCGCAGTCCCAACGGCGTTGGGCGTGGCACTCGCACGGCGGGACGGTCGGTGCGCCATGCAGCCGCACTGCAACGCCTGTCGGTGAAACAGTCAAGGCCCACCGCTCCCGCAGCAACGCAACGTGCAATCGGCCACAACACCGCCACATTATTGTCCTTTTCTATTTTATTTTATTCACGTTGTCTGTTTGTCTGTTTTCCCTATCACTAACACTAAAGATAAGTGCACACCTTCAGAGGGTGAAGTAAAAATCACAAAAGGAGGCACGATCCCACCGTCCCGTCGCGGGTCAACACTCTCCTCCACCCACCACCATTGCCGCACAGGAAAACGCAGTCACATCGCAGAGTCAACACCGCAATGTGCACCACACCACCGTGCAGTGAACAATGGCCTGGACGCAGCCACGCATCGCCCCGCTCCATTTTCCCACCACTCAATTCTTGCGTGCCCGCACAAAGCAGCAAACACAATCAGAGTGCACACAAACCCAATCAACACCCTCACTCGCTGAAGCACATCATTCGCATGGAGTGACAACATTTAGGAACACACCAGCAGTAGCAGGCTGCATGGAATTTCCCTGCCAACCCTGCAAAGAGACAACAACTCTGCGGAGTCAAGGTGGCAGCCCCTCGGTGTTGCCTGCAGTTCACATGGCAGGAAGAATTCCACGCACGCATAGTTCCGGATCCTTCGCTGTTTGAGTGGACATCAACAGAACAAGTAAAAAAATACGTGCGCACAAGACGACGTTTAAATAAATAAACTCTTCAGCCTGTTTTGTTTGATGGTGTTGGCGGGCAATCCTGCACAATCCAATCAAAGTGACACGCCGGGCAGAATGGCTTCAGTTAATAAATAAAAATAATTGCGTCAATGCAAAAAAGCAACGGAAGGTTGGCGCATGCGATTGACAGTGACAACTGAGGTGCCGAGGAGCACTTCGGTGTACAACTGGCCGTCAGGCTGAGAGGACAAATAAAACAAAAGGGCAGCAAACCCTCTCGTTCAATGTTTTCTAACAGCAACGAGAGAAAACAAAAAATAAAAGATGCACCAAAAAAAGTGTGTGGACAATTTCCCTCTCATCGTAGCCCCCATTTATCTCAAAGCTGGACGTTGTCGAAGTGCAAGAAATTATTCAAAACTGAGGAAAAAATTACATCTGAGACGTTTGCGTGATGAGCATCCGGAATACTCTTGACGACAGTGAGGGAAAGGCAGACGCCTGAGTTCCCCTCACATTTGGCCTGACGAAAAAATAATCCCACAAACATGCATTTATGTGGCTGCAGTGAAGCTTTGCCTTGACAAATCAACAACAGTGTTAACAAAGGGAATAATAAGCAGGAAAAATCCAGGCGATTGCAAGGGCAAGGCATCTTCCCATTGGAATTATTGTACATCCTGAGGAAGAGCACCTGACAAGATAAAGAATAAGACCATAAAATCATTCTGCGACCACGCAGACAGACACACCCACACACAATCATATCCCTCTCCCCCTGCTCAGTTTTATCACACCAGACACAAATAGGCCCAAGACACTCCATCACCCAAGAAATGGATGCAGAAACAAATAAAAACATAAAATTGGCAATAAATAAAAATACTGCCTCCCACTGCAACAGTTTTACTCACAAAAATTAGTCAATGCACAACTGCACATCAAGTTTCTGTCCCCATAGGTTCCATCGATGCGGCCAACTGAAGGCCAAAACTTTTCGGTGTATGAATGGCTCGAAGGGAATGCAGCAGTTTTCCGGGTGTATGGCCTGTCCCAATCATCTGATGTGACACACTTTGCCGTGTGCGGGGCATTCTTGAGAACGTTGTTCGTTGTGCTCTCTTCACCCTTCTCTATGGATGCAATTTCGGTACGAATGGAAATAAGTGCATCGGCCAAACGATCCAACTCCCGCTTTGACTCTGACTCTGTGGTTTCAGTCATGAGTGTTCCCGCAACAGGAAATGCCAGGGTAGGTGAGTGAAGGCCATAATCCATGAGTCGTTTCGCCACATCTTCTGCCTCAATTTGTGCTGTTTTTTTTTTAGATGGCCTTAAATCTATGATAAACTCGTGAGCGCAGAAATCGTTTTCCCCTAGAAAGAGAACTGGGCAGTGGCCGTCAGGACGCTTCTTTAAATAGTTGGCATTTAAAATCGCATACCCCGTGCATGTCTTGAGACCCCGTGAACCAGGCATCCACAGTAATAAATAAGAAACTGGAAGAATAGACGCTGATCCGTATGCTGCTTGAGAGAATTGACCAAAGGGCTGGGAACCACCAACATTTTGAATAAAAACAGAATCTGGCAAGAATGAAGCCAGGTGCTGACGAACAGCAATAGGACCATGCCTGGCCCACCACCACCACGAGGAATTGAAAACGTTTTGTGGAGATTAATCTGGCACACATCGCCCCCAATACATCCAGGTGCCGTGTAACCCACCATGGCATTCGTGTTTGCACCATCAATATAACATTGCCCTCCATCGTAGTGCACCATCGAAGTAATGGCCAAGATTTCCCTGTCAAACAAACCATACGTACTCGGATAAGTTATCATAATGCACGAGAGATTCTTTGTATGCTTTTGGCAAAAATTTTCCAAATCCTTCATGTCAATCCTTCCATTCGCCACTTTATCCTTACAATCACCATCCCTGCCAAGAGAACCGAAGCAAAATTTGTGCCATGAGCACTTTCCGGAATCAAGCAAACATTGCGATGGCTCTCTTTTTTGAATTATGATACGAGCGGATCACACGAAGACCAGCATATTCACCCCGAGCACCACTATTTGGCTGAAGTGACACGGCATCTAAAGCGGTAATATCCCTTATTTTCTGCTCCAGATCCAAACAAAACGCACTATGTCCTCGCGTTTGCTCCTTCGGTGCAATAGAGTGAAGGTTGGTAAATTCTGGCCACGACAAGGACAGAGTGGCGGCAGCTGGACTAAGTTTCATGGTACAAGAACCCAAGGGCACACAACCATGCGTGAGACCATAATCTTTTCCATGAAGACGGTGAATGTACCGCATAAGCTCACTCTCACTCTTGTACTTTTGAAAGATTGAATGCCCAAGAAAGACAGATTTTCGTAACATTTGCAAAGGCATTGCTCTCTTTTGTTCTGCGAGTTTTGAAAGGACACCTATCACAGGAAGTTGTAGCCCTGCTGCCTCCAAGAGAGACACTACATGGCCCTCGGTACTGGCCTCATCCACCGATATGGAGACGGTGCCATGACTATAATCAACAAAAATATTAATGCCTTTTGCCACGCAGCATGCCACGTAGTCTTCAGGCGTTATACCTTTTAAATTTACGGTGACGGTATCAAAAAATGTACCATTGACCACTGTATGCCCTACAGACTCTAAGCCAACAGAAAGTATTTTGGCTTTATTGTGCATTTCGCTCGCAATTCCCTTCAAGCCCTCAGAGCCGTGATAAATGGCATAAAATGCCGCAACATTTGCTAGGAGAGCTTGTGAAGTACGAATATTGGATGTGGCGCGTTCCCTCTTAATATGCTGCTCCCGCGTCTGAAGCGCCATGCGTATGGCCGGACAACCCGTCGAGTCTTTACTTATACCAATGACGCGACCCGGAATCAATCGCTTAAATTCCTCATTGAGAGCAAAAAATGCGGCGTGAGGCCTCCAAACCCTAGTGGGGCACCAAACCGTTGGGCAGATCCCAAAACAACATCGGCTCCCATTTCTCCCGGAGGTTTGAGAAGAACAGAAGCCATCAAATCTCTCCCACAGCAACTGACGACACCATGTTGTTTTGCCTTCCCAAACACTGTCGTAAAATCATGAAGCATCCCCATGGCATCTGGAGTTTGTGCCAAAATTCCACAAAGTGAGGAATCGCTCCAATCAATCAAATTTGGATCACCAACAACGACCTTTATTTTAAGGGGCTCAGCCCTTGTTTTTGCCATCTCTACGCAAGATGGGAAGACGTCCCTCGATACAAAAAAGGTCATGCGCTCCTTTCGACCATGATGAAAGGCAAGGTACATTGCCTCAGCACATGCAGTGGCTTGATCCAGAAGAGATGCATTTGCCACATTCACAGCTGTCAAGTCTATAATCATGGACTGAATATTCAACAGGGACTCTAGACGGCCTTGAGATATTTCAGCCTGGAAAGGAGTGTATGGGGTGTACCATGCAGGATTCTCGATAACTTTAAGAAGTATTACAGGTGGTGTGCCCTGGCTCATAGTAGCCTTGCCCAATCATGCTCCTTAATACCTTATTCCGTGAACCCAGTGAATGGAGAAGCGAAAGGGCATCCTGCTCGCTCATCGCCGGAACCTCTTTTAAAGGACTTCGCAAAATATTCTCTGGGATCACAGCAGTCATGCGCTCCGACAGACTTTCCTTGCCAATTATTCGAAGCATAGAAATTGATTCTGCCGCTGATGGTCCAATATGGCGATTGACGTAACTGTTTGTAGCAGTCCGTCGTACAAACGCCAGTGGCAACGTGGAGAAATGATGAAAGCAACGATACATTATTATGTTAGATATGTGCTCGTCACCCTCCTTCTCTCTCTCTCGCACACGCGTTAGTTTTCCTTTACTTTGGATAAAAATTGGGCTTCACAGTAAAAATCCACAAGAACAAATACAAAATATAATTAAAAAATAAAAATAAGTTAAACAGTAATCATAATAATAATAATAACCCAGTAAAATAACAACCAAAAAGGATTGTCAAGGAAAATGAGCACGCATTTATACGAGCAATTCCAATTTTCATCCCCGCACACCACACGTAGCCCCCGCGTCCCTTTATCCATGGACCTTCACGTCGGGTATTCACTAAAGTAGGCGTGACGAAGGGCGCCAGCCGCAGTCAAACGCTTCTGAGGATCCAGGCAAAGTAATCTTCGCAACAAATCCAATGCACATTCAGAGGCATCCGGGAAAAATTCACGGAGAGGAAGAGGACGCTTCGGCTCAAGGTGCACCTTTCCCCAATCGGGAAGCAGCACCGCCGATGGCCACGATGTGGGCGTCGGTGTCCCTAAAACATCAAATATTCGTGGCAACTGCCAAATATCTCCATCGCCTGCAAAAAAAGCACCACCGTGCCCCCGTAGAAGCTCCGCAAATACGCACCCTGATGACCACACATCAATTTCGGGTCCGTAGTGTCGCTGGCCCAGAAGTAACTCGGGAGCCCGGTACCACCTCGAAACGACTTCGTGAGTCATGGATGCTTCCGTATCCCATGCACGACTTAGTCCAAAGTCGCCGAGGCGTAGTTCCCCCTCCGCAGTCAAGAAACAATTTGAAGGTTTCACATCTCGATGAACAACACCCTCGCTGTGTATGCACGCTAACGCCAAAAGAAGCATTTTAAATAAAGACTTTGCCTCTAACGCGGGCAGAGGATTGCTGGCAGTTCTCCCTGAGAGGACTGTTGCCAAGTCAGTCTTGCAACGCTCCATCAATAACGCCAAGGAGCAGCCACACGGAACCACCTCATATGTCCGAATAACAAAAGGATGCACCAATCGCATCGCAACGAGTAGTTCCCTCGCTGTGGGGTGCGGAATGCCCTCATCGAGACGTGGAGTTGTGACGAATTTGATTGCGGCTGGCACTCCAGATTCCTTAACAACTGCAGCACGAACGACGCCAAAGCGGCCCTCACCAATTGGGGATCCAACAATAAAACGATCCATTTCAAGCGACCACCTCTCTCTTCTTTATTTCTCTTCTCCAGCCCTCCCTTCCATTCTACGGCATCGTGAAAATATAAATGGAACACAAAAAATTGGCTCCGGTGATGCCAAAATCCCTCCGCACCCAAAGATCATTCTCAATCCCCCTCCCTAATGAGCACATGCATAGAAACTGAAAGAACTCCAATTTGTCTCAAAAGAATCCATTTTTTGTGGTGGTGGTAGTTACTGTTTTCTCCTCGTCAGAATCTAATTATTTCAAAAACTTTCTCGTATTTAAGACCTCTGACTCTCTATTCACAACAGTGGCAGTCGCACCAGAGTACATCTTTGCTCGAGCAAACAAACTCACTCTTTCGGTCCTGGGTTTCTCATGGCACACTTCCACCTCAACAGGGGGAAGAGGAGGAAGAGAAGAAGACTGCTGCTCTTCCGTGGAATATTTCGATGTGGCTGTGGCCACATCACCCTCATTTTTGGCTTGCAGTTGTGCCGCACGGTCCTCAACCCAAAAAAGAAGACTGATCCATAGTCGTGTTCTCAGGGGCAATAAGATCATCTACACAGACAAGAAATTCCTCAGCGCCTGTGCTCAATGCACACTCCCGGGAATCATCCGCACAACAACTGCCTGTATGCTCCCTCACCACCAATGATTGACTGAGAGAGTTCTTTTTCCGCAAGAGCTCATCACGTAGTTTATTAACGGTTGACGCGCCACCCCTCTTGGCTGCTACTCGCAAAGGAATGGAGTGAGTTGCCCTCCGAACTGTCGCATTGGGGATGCTGCTGTCCGTCTTTGGACACTGATTCGTCCAGTACGTTTTTATCTCCGTAAAAGACCCGCGTGTACGGCCCAAACCTCCCTCTTGCGTGCGCCGCCAAAATGCATCATACCGTTGCCTCTTGCTTCTCAGAGATATGAAGGCGGCGCATCTTCGGCTTCACGATCGCTGATGCTCTGCTCACTTTCCCCCGAGTCATCCGGAGATAAAATACGTCCAATTGTTGTTGCGTTTTGTGAAAATGCGTTTGTTACACCTGCGGCACCCGCGCTCTCCTCGCCACCAAAAGGAACGCTGTCGCCAGATTCCTTCCCGCCCTCTTAAAACTCCTTCAAAAAAGCGGAAACGTCCATTTTCTTCAAAAGTAAAAAGAAGAAAAAAGAAATGAACATGTGCTTAGATGAGGTCGTTGACGTCTTATCCTCAGAAATATAAGAAGAGGAAAACACAACAAAATGGGAGAAGACAATTCAGCCACACATCGCTCCGCATCAACGCGCTCCAAAGAAAAATCATCCAGCACGCATGCACACGCAACAAAAGCCATCAGACAAATAAATCGACAAGAGCCAAACCCGTCGTAAAGTAGCAGAGCTGCAGCCTTAATTTAGTGCCCCTTTTAGCCGCCGGACTCCCCTGCACCGCGTGAGGCGCAATGAAGGAGGCGGGCGGGACGACAGAAAGAAACTGCAGCCGCCACCTTCCCGCGCAGCACCATCAAAATTCCCCCCACAACTCGCACATCCGTTCCAAAAAGTTTCTAAAAAAACAACTAAAAACGCTGCAAATCAATAAATATGAGATGTTTTGAACACTGCGGATTGCAAGGCGGAGCATCCAAGTATTCCACAGGAGGGCGGACTGGCACTTCAATTGGAAGGACAAAAATTCATAAGTTTTTCCTCCTCCTTTTGTTTCTCAGTGAGTGCGGGAACGCAGACGAGGGAAAACTCACAGTTTTTTAACACAAAAAAAAAAAAAGACGGCAGCCAAATGAGGGCCATTTTTTCCTTGTCGATTTCGTGAGCGTTTATTTATTTATTTATTTATTTATTTTCTGCAAATTGTGCCGGAGACAAAAGGAAAAAATAAATAAATAAATAAATAACACACGCGGAAATTACAACAAAAACACAAACACGCGAAAGTAAAAATAAAGAGGCAACGACTAACACATCACACCGTCCTTATTTTCATTGCGGAGTTCGCTACAAAAAAAATCCTCCATAGGATCACCATCGTGCGCATGCTGCAGCTCGGAGGCAGACAGAGTCGAGAGAGCCAAGTGTTTACAATGAGATGCCACATCACTCGCATTGGCCTCATTCTCTACAACAATGGATTCACTTGAAACCTCAGTTTTCGCAGTAAAATCTCTCTCGCAGCCGTTCTAATCGACTTGAGAGATCCACGGCCCAACCTGAAGCGCACATCCACCAAACGCTTAGCGAGCATCAACACGGTTTCCCCATCACTCACCGTAACTAAAATCACCTGACACCTCGCAGCTGATACATAAATAAGAACATGAATTACGTCAGAGCCCTCCGAATACCGAAGGTTGTCCTGCGGTGCAGCAAGAAAGGCGAGGCTACCGGTGTGTTGCCCATCACCCATAGAGGAGTATACACCTGCCAGAGCAGCGGAAACATCGTCGTCGTCATCATCCAAATCAGCATCGTCAGCATTCTCCTCGTCGGGAAATGTACCTGCGGTATTTCGATCTTCTCCTCTTCGTGGCGTCCAAGAGACAACAGTTGCTGCCTGGGCGGATTCAGTAGTCAAACGATCGGACTCGCAATTACAAGCATTCACACCGTTCAACTCTTTATGGCGGCTCTGAGCACTAGCACGGGACGGATTTGTAGCCTGCGGTGTCTTTGAGAGAAACTCAAAACATTTGCGGCACACCCGTCGTGGTTTATTTACATGAAGCTTTTGGGATTTAACAAAAAAGCTCGAGCATGACACGCAGAAAATACCGCCACAGTACCGACAATGATGACACCTGCACCCGAAATTAAATTTGACCTCACATATTTCGCACTTCTGCATTGAGCTATCAGACGTCCATTCGCCTAATACCGATAGCCTGATCGTCATGTGCCATACTTTATTTCTGCTGCATTTATCAACAGGCATAAAAAAGAATATGTGCATACAAATACATAAATACTATCACACGTGAGGGACATCCGTAACAGTAATGACAAGGCCAACCATATGAAGGAAGCTAAGTCGCAGACACACACTATATATATAGGGAGAGAGAAAGACGGAAAGAAAGAAAAAAGGGAAACATTGTTGTTGTTTTTTGGTGTTGTTTCGTTTCACAAAAATTGCCTCTACCGTCATGTGCAGCACCTTCAATCACTGCCCCAGTGAGTCCTCACCATCACTCTTTTTTACCATGGAAGACAATGGCAACCAAGAAATATCCACCTGAGACGGTGAAGAAGAGTCCCCGTCGTCACTTCCGCTCATGGAGTCTTCAGGCAGGCTGCCATTTGCAAGGGGTTGTGGATCATCGTTCTAAGAGTGCCGCGCGCAACGGGCCCGAGACGGTGTAGAAATTCATTCAACATGTCGTCGGGGCCAGGGGCTGAGCCAAGCAAAGAGTCGCGGATGGTCACGTCAAGTTCATACGGCGGGAAAGGCCGATCCATTTCCCAGCCACCAGGAACCAAAGGAGTGCAGCGAGCAGCGGCAGCAGTATAAGGCGGTATGGCACGTGAAACCCGCACAAAATGACGGATAAGCAGATTTGCCTGTTGCCGAGGCAGAGCACATACGCGGCCAATATCAGCACGGAGCACAACCGATTCCAGAGGATGAGGGTGCGGCGCCGCCACGCCATGAAGATATTGCCACCTCGGGCTGGGTGAGGCTCCAAGTCCTTTCGCGCGGGCTTCCAGAAGCACAGCGGAGCAACGGCGCAAGGCTTGATTTCGTTCCTCCCTTTTTTCGGGTACATTCGGCTCAAAGTAGGCTGTCTCCGGGTGAGGCAATGTGTGTGCTTCGTGTGCTGCTTCGGCGGCGGGCTCGGCTTGTTCCATTTTGTGTGTCCATATCTTTTTGGAGCTGTCACGGCTGCCAGGCGGGACGTGGCGCTCAGCTGCTCGTAAGATGCCTCCGCGAGGATCCAACCATGTGGACGCGGTGGAAAGGAGGGTTTCACACAACGATGAAAAAGCAGGCAAATCCGCTTTACGCAGGGCAATGGTGGCTTTCTTCCGTCAAGGCAGCGTGTTTGCTAGTCGTGGAGTGCCATCGTCCATCTCTACCAAGTAAGATATTCAGCAGTGGTCCGAGTCCATGTAAGGGGCGGATGCCCAGTGGGAGATGCGTAAGGCGCAATACGCAGCCACGTCAGGGGACGAGGCATTAAGATGTGTGATCCGTGTTGCCTGTGTCGGGTAATTTGCCAGCCCAAAATCCATATCGATTAGAACAGCGGCGAAATTATCGCCTCCAGTCCTTGATGGTATATATGACTGTCCCAGAACTCATGATGTCAATTCAATTCACCCGCGATAATCTCCTCGGGCACAAGCGACAAACGATATTAATAAATGCGGATTATTGACCAATTGCTGTGGGAGGGTTGTAGAAATTCGCCACGCAAATGCTGCGACAGCCTGGCGGAAATACACGGACAACAATGGTCTCCAGAAGGTCAGTGCCAGGGAGCGACAGGCGTTCGCACGGTAGAGAGTGGCGCACCAGAACGGCAACGCCACCACCGCGCCCAGTGAGGCCTGAAGGTAGTCATTATGGCCAGATAATTTCATCGCTACGTCACCACGGTTACTTATTTCCTGGAGAAGAACGATGTCAGGTGGACGCTGCTCCAATCGCGCCGCAAATGCAATATTTTTCACGGACGAGAGGCCTGCAATGTTAAGCTGCCAAATATTGATGTAACCATCCTCCTCGGGCCAGGGTTCTTGTGGACACCGCAGCGGCATGTGATATCAACGGAGTGACCGCTGCGAAACGGTCGTGCAGTTTTGTCCGACAGTCTGCGGGCAGACCGCCTCACCTTCCCGCACCGGGCATGGCGTGGAACCTTCTCGAGGGGTGAAGTCGTCTTGGTCTCCGTCGTGCTCGCGGCAACGCCCTGCTGCGGAGTTCCTATATGCAACCAAAGCCCCAGCACCGCGAAAGGGTACGGACACCATCGCTGGAGTACACTGCAATACCCATATATCGTGTAATTGTCGTTAAGTTCTTACCCACAGTCACAAAAAAAAGCAAATCATTTAGGGGCACACACAACCACAACGGGGCGTCAGAAAAAAACAAACAGGATGACTGCTAGAACGCGACACTGCACGGCTGCCCACGCCGTGGCGAACCGCGGGAAATATGCTGGAAAGTAAGAAAAGATAAATCCGTCTTCCATTATGCATTCACTCAAAAAAAAAAAACTGCACGTTGCTGCGTGGCCTCCAAATCGGTGCGTTTGTTTCGCCTGCAGATAAAAAATAAATAAATGTGTTGCACTCGTTATAGTCTTTTAAACACCTGGTGCCCAGACATTATTTATATTCCACTGGGACACTCGGCGTGGTTTCGTGCCCCCCATTCCATCGTCTCTTTTATTGGCCGACGCCATCGGCGTGGCACACGGTGCCGAGAGCGCCCATGATCACTTTAAAAGGGGGAAAAAAACAAGAAAACTGAGTAGATCCCGCCGTTGTCGGAGGACCACAACACGGGGGGAAATAAAAAACCAACCAAACAAAAACCACGCGATGATGGCCCCGGGGGGAGCATGCTTCCAAATGGAGGAAGGGACCTGCGCGGAGAAGGGGGTACAAAGTAGAATAAAATGGTTAAAACAAGGCGTCACAGAAAGCGGCAATTAATTTAGAAGAGTGCGTGGCCAGACGCATATGTTCCCGCTGGAGGCAGGAAGTCCTCACTGCAGTTTCTCAGTAAAGGGCCACAAAGGTGCAAAACCCCAGCAACCGAGAGATGCCCTCACGCATGGAGCCGTCACTGTTACCTTTTTTGGCGTCGCTCTTCTTGACCATTTTTAGTTCACCGACACTCAGTGGGCGGTCGTACAGAAAAACGTTCGTCACCGTCACATCGCTGCCGATGTCTCCCTCGTCGCCCCCAATGTAGAAGAATGAGGCTTCAGGCCCCTGCGTCTCAAGTGTCGCTATATTCTCTGGGCTCCCCACAATCACACCATCCACGTACACGGAGCCCTTGTTGCCGTCCTGCAGCATGAGCGCCACCTGATATTCTCTTCCAGGTTCCCACGTGCTGCCCGATGCTGTTTTTGTGCCGTCAAACACTGGCTCCCACGCTTTATTCATGCCGTACGACAGCCCAATGATCTTCGCGCCGGCACCGTCCCCCAGACCCGCACCCAGCAGAGGAGTGCTCCCCTTCGGAACCTGGTGGATGGTCACCGTCGCCACAAGGGTGAATCTGTGGTTCACAAAGCTGTACTGTCTGTTATCCTCCCGGCTGTTCACGGGCCATGTCGCCATGGACCCAGGCCCCGTGAACTTAAAACCATTTTTGACCTTCGCTGCCTTCGTCACCGTTGCATTCATTCAACGGTACTCGTCGATCCACGTGTCGCCATCGGACGATGTATTGGACAGGAATCCAACCAGACCAGCCGTGGGTGTGGACGAAGCGGAAAAGGAGGCGTCAAGCTGTGCCCAAGTCCTCAGGACAGAATTGATCGTCTTCAGCTCATCAGTCAGGCGGGCAAGGGATATGCCCCGGCGCGTTCCCACAATACTCTCTCGTGAAAGGTGCAACGCACCATCCGAGTACAGCAGGACGTTGGTAAGCGTCTCACCCACAGCATGATCCGTAGAAAGGGCTTCAAGATGAAACGTGCGGCTATTGTCCGTGACCCAAAGGTAGAGCGCCTTGGCTTCAGTCCCCCCAGAAGGGGTGTCCTCTCTGTGTGTACAGCATGACCTTCCTTCCCTCAATGGTCACGGTGATGAGGGCATCCACATGCAAGCCTTCGTCCGGATAGTCTCCCGGTTGTGAGTTGACCCACACGCCTGGAAGTGTCCCGATGGCCTCCGTCCACGTTTTCCCCATGTCACGCGACTCGAACACACTCTGGCCATTCTCGCAATCAACAATCATGAGAAGCGATCCCGTGTCCCATTCGGTGATGCGGGGTTAAGGCATTCCGCAGAGGAAATGTCCTCAGAGAGCGACCAAGTACTGTCGTTGTTCGTCGAGTAAATAATCATGGAGTAAACGCCATCATTTTTTTCATTCATCGCCATCAGAGAAAACACAATGGTGCCATCCTCCATCACAACACCTGAACCACCAGAAGCAAGGCACTCCGTCAAGTTACCTTTGTGAGCAGCTATAGCACTCTCGTTCAACAGAGACTGGATTTCGCCCCATTTGATCCGTTTACTCGGCTCGCCGCCCGTGGCATTCGTGACCTCACCAACAAGAGTGGGCCATTCCCACGCAGAGTCGATGTTCTCCGCAACAACATCAGAAGAAAGGGGCTTAGTTAATTGAGCACCTTGATATTTGGCATTTACGTGACCCTCGGCAAAAGCAGCAATTACTCCACCAGCGCTGACGAGAGAGGGTGAAACAAATGAATCCCTCCGACTTGAGTCAGGCCCATTTTTCGCCAGCACCTGCGTCGTCTGCGGCATAAATAAATCAACCCGTTGCAGCCCCTCAACACCCCCTGAAGCACTCCCTTCTGTAGCAATGGCACCAGTCAATGCCGACCCAGGAGTTGAAGCATCAGCATTACTTCCCACCTGAGCGGTCGCAACTCCACTGCAGCACATCATGATGACGAGGAAGAGCAGCACCACGGAAGCAAACACACGCCGAGACATGTTGGGCCTCCGCGGCTCACTCTCTCTTCCTTCCCTCCTCCTCCCGCTGGATCCGGTCACGCGGCGACGGTAGTGTGTGCGGGGTGCCTTATCTGCAGCAACACGTGAGAGCATACAAATATGTGTGTGTGGGCGGTGTGTGTGTTGTTGATCCTTTCAGTGCCTTTGAATCTCACAGTAGCGATTAGCGCTTGCTTTCTTTCTTCGTAAGAGAGTGTGTTCAAGAAGTGGAGAAGACGACAACAGCAGCAATACACCAGAAAGGTCAGTGGGGAGCAGAGCAGAGCACCCACGCAGAGAGCGAGGCACGAGACAATCCGGAAGGGACGGCACGGAGGACCATCGCACACAGAAAAGAGCGGCAACACGGCAAGCCACGGCGGGCCGTCGGTGTGTGCGGGCCAGCCCTCACGCAGTGCAACACGCCACACCCAACAGGGAATGACAGACAGACAGGCGGAGAGAAATGAATGGATGCCGTCAGGAGGCACTCACAATCAACATGGCCCGTGAGCATGCGGCCACTCCACGCAGGAACACAGGAGAAAATGGTGACAAGGGAAAAAAGCAAGAAGCAGCACAAACACACAAAAGAAACAAATTGCGGGCGGGAAAAGCACCGCCACGGTCCTCGCGCTGGCCGGCAACCCCACACCAGCCCTCACACAAACACACCATCGCAGTGCTGCCAGTCCGCGGGTAAGAGGATTCGGCCCTCCACAAAACGAAGGCACACACCGCCAGCAGTCACACACCAATGGACAAGGAGAAGAAGTGATTCCTCATCCATCCATGACGCGGCAACAACATTTCCAGCCATTCCACCCACAATGGAATTTAATGCCCGACTCAAAGCGGTCATAGGTGGTGCATCACGCCTGCAGGAAAAGTGACTCGCCGTGCGCTCCCTCTCTCCTCCCCTCGCTTCATGCCCACAGAAGGAGGCGCCAGCCACCAGCACGCACTACAAAAGGAAGCATCCAAATCCACTGCAATGTGTATTTTGGGTGGTTGTGTGTGCCTGCAGAAACACGAGGCAAAGAGGTAAAAAAACAAAAGCAGAGCATTTAAAGAGACACACAAACAAAAATGTACAGCAAAAGTGCATGGCAAAAATAACAGGACTGCTCAAACTCATGACTGCACTGCAGACCAAAGCAGCGGCAATTCATAAAAAATTAAATAAAAATAATACAAAAAATTCATCTTCACCTTTCCACACCTCACACCTTAAAAAAAAAGAAAAAATGAAAAAAAAAAATGAAAAAAATGAAAAAAAAAAAAAATTTGAAAAATGTCGTCCTCTATTACGGCTACACCCAAATAATAAAGAAAAAGAAAAAGAAAACCCACACACACAAAAAGCACCCAACTACCATGTTGCTCCAGAAATTGTCTGCATATTTTGTCCGAAAAGAAAATTAAATATTTAAATGTCTTTCAACTGTCCGACCCTCCATGTGTCCGCACATCGTTTATATTTCACGGGGTCATCTGCGTGTTGCTGCTCCCCTCAGCCCTCTCATCGGCGCGTGAGTGCGGCCCGCAGAGCACAGTCACTCGTGTGTGGGGACTGAGAGAAGCACGCAGACACGACGGGAGTCGCGTCTCTCCATCGGGAGAGTGAGCGCAGCAAAAAAAAAAAACACGGCGGCAGGGTGTGGCTGTGTGTGTGGCGCTGCGGGTGTCTGCCAGCCCTGACCGCAAAGAAAACAAAACAAGAGGGAAGAAATGTGTGCTCCGCCCCACAGGCCCTCGTCGCACGCCCACACGTCACGGCTCCCTCAGCGCGCCGTTCGTCGCGGCCCCTCCTCATGCGTGCAGCAGGCGAGGCGCACAGGGCCGTCGTCATGTGCGTGTCGGTGGGTGTGCGAGTGGAGCAGTTGGGCGGAAACACACGGCACCCCTCGCAGGAAGAGTGCAGAAGAAACAACAAAAGAGGGAAGAGTAGAGTAGAAAAAAAAGCGTCCATAGTGATTGTCCTAAAGCAACAAGCAAGATAAGGGAAATAATTAAAGCAAAAACAAGAAAAAGAAAAAGAAAAAAAAAAGGAAGTGGAATATAAAAAATTCATTGGGTAATGCTGGGATGCCGCTCAGTTGTTGCTCCACAGAATTTCGAAACTTCGCTCTCCCCAATTCATTCAACAGAGAGCCGCAGCGCCCCACAGCCCCAGAAGCAGCAGCAACAACACCCGAAATACACACCCATGCACGGTGCTCTCAGCAAATAGAGCCATGCCCGCCAACTCGCTGTAATGCCCGTTCTCAGGCAAAATGCCAGCGTCCGAGGGTGCTGTTGCGTTGGACTCCAATGAGATCATGGTTTCTCCAGGCGTTGTGTTTGTGTTACCCGGTGCGGGGACGACCGTCTGTGGCACCTCCTTGCCGTTTTCAACGGAAAATTCAGCCCTTTCAGTCCAAGAGATGTTGTCGGTGTCCTCCGCGGATGTAGGTTCGGCGTCACTCTTTGAAGGAGTGATGCTGCTGTCTGAGTTCATTGTTCTCTCGGAATTTCTTTCCCCCGCCTCGAGGCTGAGGCTTTCCTCCGCGCCGGTGGTTCCGGTTCCAGTGGACCGCACGTCGTCGTTTTCAGTGGCAAGCTCAACGCTTTGTTGCACTTGGTGCTCACCGTACACTGGTGCAGTGGCAGCGGCCATACTCAATGACGCAGCCACTGGAGGCGTTAATCCGCCACTCCCGTCATTTGCTCCTCCCTCCTCCTCCGGCTGTGGTGCATCATAACTTTCAGCGGATCCTTCAACATCAGCAACCTCCGTTAATTCCGTTGACTGTAGGTCTTCTTTCTGCACATCTGAACTTCGCGCCATCGATTTCTTCGCTTCATTCAGCGTGGCTTGCCGAGACGTTTCGCCTTCGGAAAGCTGGGCATTGTCCTCTTGATGAAAACTCTCTGCGCTCTCCGCTGCGGTGGCGTATTCAGGAACAGATGATCCCGCGACAACCGTGGAAGAGGGCGCTGCAAGCACCAGATTATGGACGATTCCTTCCTCTTGTTTTTCAGTATCATCCCCAGTCAATTTCTCGTGGCTGGCGGCGGTGGTTTCTTCACTCTTTGACTCGGAAGCAACCAAAGCGTCTGTGTTGGTCACCTGTTCTGTGGACTTTTCCTCAACGCTCAGTGATGGAATATTGACTTTGCTGGCATAGAGTTCATACAGCTTATTATTGTATAGCATCTCGTTGTACAGCATGACGTTGGTCACCGTCACGCGGCCGCCCGTTGCACTTTGGTTCTTACTGTCCCCACCGATGTAGAAGTGTGAAATCCTGTGGAAGTCAAACAGATGTTCATCATATTCCGTGCTGTGGATTTCCCTTCCATCCACAAAGACACTCCACTCTTCAAAATCCATTCGCAGTCCCACCTGATACGTCTTGTTTGGCTCCCACTCAAAATCCTCCGGATCACCAGGATTCTCAGGTATGGCCAACCACTTCTTGTCATGGGTGTACGACAGACCAAAAAGCACCGTGCTGTCGGTGTCATTCATCCTCACACCCACCAATGGAATGCTACCACTCTGCGGCACCTCGTGGATAGACACCGTCGCCACAAGAGTAAACTCGGTGTTAGCGAAGTAGTACGGCACAGTCTGCCCCATGTCGCCAACAGGCCACACCGCCCCTGCCCCGGGTCCTTGGAACGTCCATCCATTGGGAACCCTTTTCTCCCCATTCGTCACTGTTGCATTCACGCCGAGGTACTCGTCCCTCCACTCGGTCTGAGTTGAGTTACCAGACAAAAAGCCAACAAGCCCGTCAGTGGGAACAGGACCATTGCACATGTCCTTTCTGAGCGCGTCAACATTGCCGCTGGAACCGGAACTGCAGTATTGCAAGGCGCTGCCCAAATCCTTCCATGTCTTCACAACTTCCTTTATCCGCTCCAGTTTCTCGGTCAGACGCACAGCAACAAGATTGTATGATCCGTCGCTCTTCTTGTTCTCGTACAGTGAAATCAACTCCTCCTTATTATCCCTCCCACTCTTCATCAACAGCGAGCTGGCGGCGGCGTCATCATTTTCACGGGATACCGGCCCAACATCATACACACGTGCCGTGTCCGTCACCCAAAGATGAAGCCGACCCTTTCCACCTTTATTTTCCTTCTTCGGATACACCGGCGCGGTGATGAGCATCACTTCCTTTCCCTCAATGATTGCTGTCGTGGATCCACTCTGGACGCCGTACCCTTTTCGATTGTGTGAGTTGCCCCACACGCGGGTAATTGGTTTTAAGTGATCATACCAATTGATTCCATGCAAAGTGGACCTGTAAACGTCATAGTAGCCTCCAGCACAATGAGCCATCATGAAAAGTCTTTCGTCGTCTTCGTCTTCTCTCCACTTCACCAGGGTTGGATCCCTGCAGCCGTTACCAGTCACTTCGGATGAAAGCCACCATTTGTTCTCCGACGGGTTAAAACGCATGGACAGCAAAACGCTCTGTCCATCCTTGTTTTTGGCCTGCATGGGAAACACAAGCGAGCCGTCACGCATCACAGCACCCGATCCTCCACCGCCAATTAACTCGGTCAAGGAATGAGAATATACTATGCCCTGGGGCTTCACCACATGGGTCTCATTCCACACAATTTTCTTCTTTCCACCCTCGTCAGTGAGAGTTCCCTTCACGAGTAAAAGGCCCCGCTCATTCGTACCCCCAACCTGCGGCCCTGTATGGCTGTATTTTCCCAGGAGCACGTAAACGCTTTCCCCAAGTACAAGTGTCGTTGGTCGCGTTATGCCGTTTGCGGTGTGGATGCCCCCAGAATCTTCCTTTAGAAGACCTGTGCCAAAGATACTTGCATCTGCAGTCGAGATCTCCGTTGAACCAGAACCAACATTTAAACCAAGGTACTTTGACGCAATCCCAGCAAAGCCGACTTCGCTGCACTTGCCTCCATCCTTGCAATGGGCTTCAGCAATAGCAAATAAATGACCCTGCAAATCAACAAGACTGGGAACGCGGAGCGAAGCACTTTCGGTATTGATCCCAACGTCCTTCCAAGTAGCATCTATCCTTGTCGTCCCTGTAAATGGATTAATGGCAATACTTGACTTGCTCTCCACAGCGTGTGCACCTCCACTGCCGCAGCAAATCATAATCACAAATAGGAGAAGCAGCACCGCAAAAGCAAACACACGCCGGGACATGTTGGGCCTCGGCGGCTCACTCTCTCTTCCTTCCCTCCTCCTGCCGCTGGATCCGGTCACGCGGCGACGGTGGTGTGTGCGGGGTGCCATGAGAGTAGCAACACGTGAGAGCATACAAATATGTGTGTGTGTGCTGTTGGTCCTTTCAGTGCCTTTGAATTTCACAGTAGCGATTAGCGTTTGTTTTCCTTCCTTCCTAGCGTGTCTGTGTTCAATAAGTGGAGAGTACAGCAGCAACAGCAGCAATACACCAGAAAGGTCAGTGAGGAGCAGAGCAGAGCACCCACGCAGAGAGCGAGTCATAAAACAATCCGGAAGGGACAGCACGGAGAACCATCGCCTACAGAAAAGAGCAGCAACACGGCAAGCCACGGCGGGCCGTCGGTGTGTGCGGGCCAGCCCTCACGCGGTGCAACACGCCACACCCAACAGGGAATGACAGACAGGCAGAGGGAGATGAATGGATGCCGTCAGGAGGCACTCACAATCCACATGGCCCGTGAGCATGCGGCCACTCCACGCAGGAACGCAGGAGAAAAGGGTGAGAGAGGAAAAAAGCAAAAGGCATCATAACACACGGAAGAAACAAACGACAGGCGAGAAAAGCACCGCCACGGTCCTCATCCTGGCCGGCAACTCCACACCAGCCCTCACAAACACACGATCGCGGTGCCGTCAGTCCACGGGTGAGAGGGTTCGGCCCTCCACACGAAAAACTCACACACCGCCAGCAGTCACACACAATGGACAAGGACGAGGAGGAACAACACACAGCCTCCAGTTCAATCCCACGGACAACGGGATACGGCCACAGCCCGCAGCCAACAAACACAACGCACACGGAGCAAGCAATCACCCAAAGAGCCACGGGCGGAAGCGGACCCTCATCCATCCATGACGCGACACCTCACTCCACGCGGTCACACGGAGCGCACCATTTCTCAATAGTTCTTATTCGTCGCCCATCCCCTAAGATGCTTCTGTTAGTGATGGGCCTTAGAACACAATAGAAGAAAATGGACAATGCGATAACGCCGTGACAGCGCCAGCCACAATGATTCCCTCATACCGGAGCAATTCTCCAATTACGCCTCGTACAAACACACAATCAACACACTATATAAAAATCACCCAATGTTTTTCAGCAAAAACCAAACAACTCCAATCCCTCCCTAATTTCTTCTGTCATTGTTAAGTTCGATAGCGTTGGCCATTTGTGGCATCTGTGTGCCTTACTGCCATCTGGTGCTGGTGCACCTGCACCGTATGCACACAAAACTATCAAAAAATATATGAATCTCACAATATTTTTTTACCAGAAATCAAAACTGCCCCTTTCCCTCCCCAATTCGTTTTACTATTTCGACGGTTCTTCCAAACTGCGGAGTGCTTCGTCCCTTCAAAAGTCTCTGGATAATATTGACACTTGGTACTGGCGCACCTTTTCCTTCCGGAACCACGCAATCTCTTTTTCCTTCTCGCTCACAATATCGGTATTGACGACATCATATCTCTGCCATTTCGTTATCATTTTGCTGGCTGCGTGCTGTACATAAATCGTCTCCCACGACATGTCTCGGGATAATTTCTTCCAGCCCTTAAAATATTCCGACAGGCGTTCATTGAACAGATTCACAGTGCTGGGTATGGTGTGGTGCCCACCCGCCGTAGTCATCTGCAGCCCAACCAGCGTCCTCCGCGGTGAATTCAAAAAGAAAAAGCCGTCCACCAGCGGAAAGTTTTCAACCTTCGGTAGGTACAGCACCCCGTACTCCATAGGAATCCTCGTGACACCGCCCTGCAGTTCCTCTAATCCAACGGTGCGAGTGGGGTGCCCTTGATGGTTTACCTTCAGTACTGATTTCTGTGTTTCATCACGTTCTGGTGAACTCAGCTCATTGAGTTCCTCTACTAATGCACTGACAAGCTCCCCATACATGAAGGCGCGCAAACCTAATTGTTCCAGAGCGTGGGAAACAAGAGCACCACGCGATCACAATAACAGCAACAAAATATCCTTCGCATCCATTTCCTTTTCCAAACGGTCCGCAGTTCAAAACCCGATATCAGCACATATCGGTGCGTTGAGAAATACCTCAACACCTTCTTCGGTTATTTCCCGGACGATCTTCACAAGTTTGTGACACGGATCCTCGAAATACCATATATTACTTCCTCCCAGGGAAAAGTACTTTTCAACATCAGTAGGTTTCATCGCTAACAAGGCATCATCAACGGCACCCAAGCGATCAATATAACTTTCCTCATCAAAGATGTGACGTGGAATCGGCCCCACTTTTTCCATGAGTTCTTTGACCATCCTCCAGTATTCCGCTTGCTTATCTTTATCCAGACCTCGCTTCATCCACGCACACATCGCCTTCACATCCATCTCGTCGGGGCAATTCATGATGATTCGCCTGGCTTTTAGTTGCGTCGCCCACTTATCATAGTTGTCCAGGTTTGGCGATGACACAACAATCATGCCCCATCCGGTGGAGGGCGCAAAGCCTGTGTCGGGTGGTGTTCCTTTCCTTGCCACATCGTAAATAATGTACCCTTTCATCCCACACTGCCACAAACCATCCAAAACACTCTCGGATATTATCTCACCCATGTATTTTGTCACGGTTTTGGTGGTCTTGTCAAACACGTACATCGTTTCTCCAAAACAGTGGACTACCACTTGGAGTTTCATGATATCGTAGTGCAGCAGCTGGTAGAGGAGGTACGAGCCGGCATTCATCGACTTCCCGATCCCGGGCGTCCCAATCAACACACGCGGCAAAGGTGAAGAATTGAGAGTCAAATCAAAATTGCTAAACCACTTGGTTAGATCGCGCTCGACGATCCGCCACACTCGCTCCACCTCACAGTTAACACACAAGTCATTGCCAGCCCCATGCAGCACATTCAGAGTGTATGGCCATCCCTTGTCCGAGGTGAGCACCATCAGCCTGGGAGGTGCTTTACCGGATTTCCGCACACCGTCATCCTTTTCGAAGGTGTTGCCAACTTTCTTGTACGTCCATGACTTTTTCGGTTTCCCCTCCTTCACCTCCATTCCCGTCCCCTTTTTCTTTCGCTCATCGCCACCAGAAACTTCCACGACATGATGCCACCCCGCATTGTACACAGACTCGTACACTCCCTCCAGTTTTATCGCTACAATCGTCGTCGTTAGGATCCTCGCCTCCTCGGCAGCTGCATCCAAGAAATCTTTAGTGATGCAATGAACACTTGTTTTTACGTTTGCGGCAGCTTTTGACCACCCAAATAGATTGACGACATCCTTATCGCGAAGCTTACTTCGATCTTTTTCGAAGATTATTTCATCCCTTACAGCCCCCTCCATCCTCGCATAAGCATCGGTCATCTGTATTTCTTTCAACGCTCCCTTATCGCGGATATACTTCGTGGGATCCTTGAAAAACTCCTCCAGCAAAACACTCCGATTGGTGTCCACAAGGCCCCTGCCGCCAAATTCCATCGTAAGAAAATCATTCAACTTCTTTTCCTTGACGCGGACTCCTCCTTTAAACAGTACCTCTTCGATATTAGTGGAAATGGTAAATTTCATTTCTTGCGCTCGTCTTAGCCTTTCCCCTGCCTTCCGCCACGCTTCTGTCAGTACCTGAGTGAGGGCTGCGTTTAGTTTTCCCCTTGCAAGTGGAGTGACCGTATCCTTTCCTTCATAGTCCTTCCATTGCTCGAGCGAGACCACACCCTCGTGATGAAGCTTAGTAATGGCCTCCAATAGAATTTTCATCTCATCCAACTCTGTTTCCATCTCTTGGTACTCTGTTAAATTAAAAATAATTCTAAGAAGCCGCTGGTCTTGTACGTAAGCATCCGGCTCCTGAACAAACGCCTCCATAATGACGTTCCCATTTCTTTCCACAACCCACTCATCGCCCAATTTGCTCCGGAGGAAATCGTTCAGCTTCATGTCGGTGCTGCTATTGCTTCCACCCAGCAGGATGTCCTCAACGCTGCTGCTCATGGTCCACTGCAGCCGCTGTTTACTCCCCGCCACATGTCGAGCTGCAGCGTCGGAACCATCACAAGAGCCACGGCGAGGCGCCATCACAACGCCCGTGCGGTGAAGCATCCCACTCGCACCGCCCAACTGCGGCCAGCAGATGTCGCTGGCTCCAAAGGACACTCGCGGCTGTTTCTTCCCGCATTCCCAATGGAGTTGGGCGTGGCACTCGCACGGCTCGGTGGTCGGTGCGCCACGCAGCCGCACTGCAACGCCTGTCGGTGAAGCAGTCAAGGCCCACCGCCTCCGCAGCAACGCAACGTGCAATCGGCCACAACACCGCCACATTATCGTCCTTTTATATTTTATTTTATTCACGTTGTCTGTCCGTTTGCCCTATCACTAACACTAAAAATAAGTGTGCACCTTCACAGAAAAAAAATAAAGGAGGCACGATCCCACCGTCCCGCCGCGGCCCAACACTCTCCTCTACCCACCGCCATCGCAGCGCAGGAGACCGCAGTCACATCGCAGAGTCAGCACCACAGTGTGCACCACACCATCGTGCAGTGAACGATGGGCGAGACGCAGCCATGCATCGCCCCGCTCCATTTTCCCACCACTCAATTCTTGCGTGCCCGCACAAAGCAGCAAACACAATCAGAGTGCACACAAACCCAATCAACACCCTCACTCGCCGAAGCACATTATTCGCATGGAGTTACAACAGTTGAGGACACACCAGCAGTAGCTGGCTGCATGGAATTTCTCATTCAACCCTGCGAAGAGACACAACAACTCTGCGGAGTAAAAGTGGCAGCCCCGCAGTGTTGCCCGCAGTCCACATGGCAGGAATAATCCCACGCACGCATATTTCCGGATCCCTCGCTGTTTGAGTGCGCATCAACAGAACATAAGAAAAAAATACTTGCGCGCAAGATGACGTTTAAATAATTAAACTCTTCAGCCTGTTTTGTTTGATGGTGTTGGCGGGCAATCCCGCACAATCCAATCAAAATGACACGCCGGGCAGAATGTCTTCAGTTAATAAATAAAAATAATTGCGTCATTGCAAAAAAGCAGCGGAAAGTTGGCGCATAAGGTTGACAGTCCCAACTGAGGCGCCGAGGAGCACTTCGGTGTCCAACTGGCCGTCAGGCTGAGAGGACAAATAAAACAAAAGGGCAGCAAACCCTCCCGCTCAATGTTTTCTAACAGCAACGAGAGAAAACAAAAATAAAAGATACAACAAAAAAAAGAGTGTAGACAATTTCCCTCTCGTCGTAGCCCCCATTTACCTCAAAGCTGGACGTTGTTGAAG